ATCAGGGAAAGTAGGATGCAAAGCCACATCTGGCTTCACAGTCCATTCCATTAGAGGAATAAAGTTTCGATACCTGTTACAACATGGGTGGACCTTGAAAACATGCTAAGTGAAATAAGCCAGACACAAAAGGACAAAATCATGTGATTCCACTTTACCTAAAATAGGCAAATTCATAGCAACAGAAAGTATATTAGAGATTACCAGGGACTGGGGGAAGGGGGACGTGGGAGTTATTTAGTGGGTACAGAATTTCTGTTGGGGAGATGAAAATGTTCTGGAAATGAATAGTGGTGACTATTGTACAGCATCATAAATGAACGTAATGCCACTGAATTGTCCACTTAAAAAGGATTAAAATGGTAAATTTTTTTATGCACATTTTATCACAATAAAACAATTTTACTACATACAGGGTGATCAGCACATACCTGCCCCATAACAGGCTGTGCTCAATGAATGTAGCTATTGTTTCCACGTGTCTGGTCTAACCCTCTCTTTTTTCAGAGAAGAGTCTCCCTCACTCTCTAAGGCTGAGAACTTTGAATTTATGAGTTTGTCTGCCCTGACACCCTTCTTTACATCCTGAGTCCATCCTCATTACACCTAGCTCTTCCAGGGACACTGCTGGTCATGACATGTACCCCTCAGGTCACAGTCCACTCCACAGGACAAGGCCCCCTCCTCACTGGAACCAGAGAGAAGAGAGCACACGTCTTCCTTCCCTTGCCACCTGCCCTCTTGGTTTCTCCAAGGCTACCCTACCAGCTGTAGGGGTGGGGCAATCTCAGAGTAAAATTATTGTAGAGAAAAGGAAAAGCTAAAGATCAAGATAACTTAACCTTTCTTGGAGTCTCCAGTGGAAGGAACCCCAAATTGGCCGGGACGTGGTAGCTCATACCTGTGATCCCAGCACTTTGGGAGGCCGAGGAAGGAGGATTGCTTGAGGCCAGGAGTTTGAGATCAGCCTGGGCAACATAGCAAGACCCTCATCTCTACTTAAAAAAGAAAAAAGAACCCCAAACTGAGGTCCTCCACAAGAGGTATGGCTGGACTAGCATGGGTCGCCCTTGCCTTCAGCTCATGATAGGGAAACCCGCTGATAAAAAGGTATGAAGAACAGGATGGACCACATCAGGCCTGTCTCCACTGTATACCATTGTATACCACTATATACACTGTATCTCAGCCTGTGGCTCTCAAATCATCTTCCCTAAGGGCTTCCTCCTTCAAGTCTCTGAGTCTCTCCCTACCGTTGGCCGCCTTTGCATTGCAGGGCCTCCAGTCAGAGTCATTCTCTCTGGAGCAGTGTCCCAGGGGTAAGTGCTATCTGCTGCCACCCAAGTCTCACAGAATAGCAGGATCCCTTGGACAGGAGTGGACCTGGATCCTCTAGTCTAATTTCTTGTCCTATAAGCTTCAGTGAGAGCTGTTGGGAAGGGTGGTTCCTTTAATGAGCTGACCCGTTAGATTAAGCACAGGCTTGTCAATGATAAATATTACAATTGAGGTTCAGTACAGTTTAAATACATATAGAAAAAGAAAATATTTCCTCATATAACCAGGCATCTCATCCCTACTCCAGAGTCTTGAACCCAGAGTGACTTCGTAGCTTGTTGATCTACTTGGATGATAAAGGTCACCAGTTAGTGGCAGCAGCCCGGGAAGGGCTCCAGACTCAATCATATTTGTTGTTTATTTCTGAAAACTCCCTGGGATGAGATACAGTTGCCAATTTTTTCTTCCACTATTATTATTGTTATCACAAATCACAGGAAAAGGACAGTTTATTTAGTAAGTGGTATTGACACAATTAGGCAATTACTTGAGGAAAAAATACCTCGATCCTTGCCTTATACCTAACACTTTAAAATCAATTCCAAATGGATTAAAGATTTGAGTTTCAAAAGAAAGAGAGGAACTGCATAAACCAAAAGATGGAACTTAAAGCTCCTAAAAGGCATGCACACAAGCAGTTGACAGCCTCTACATATTTCTCATTGAAATATCCACAAATATGCACACACAGAAAGACAAAAACTATTAATACCAAAAGAAAAAGGCTGAGGAGAAAATGCCAAAATATAATAGAAATCTAATCTGATTTTATGGCAGGTACAGCTGGACCAGAGTGGGTGGCTCTTGCCTTGATCTCATAATAGGGAGACTCGCTGATAACAAGGCATGAAGAAGTTTCGGCTATCTCCCACCACCTTTCTCTTAACCAGAGACCCCAGGACCCAGAAAATGGGGCAAATGGCTCTCTAGAGCAGTGGAGAACTTCAGAAATATACCAATCTCTAGACAGCACCCCAGACTAATTAAATCAGAATATTTAGGGAAAGTACTCACGCAGTGGTGTTTTCAATGTGTAGCCAGACTGATAACCAGTCTTCTGCAAAATCTGCAAAATTGCTCAGATGCTAGCTATTCTATAGGGCAGGTGGGGAGATGAGACTCTGTCCTCTCCCATTTTGGCCACCCATCATCTTTTGTGATATTCTCTCCTTCCTTCCCATCTGGGATGCCTCTCTTTGTGGTTTTTTCTCCTATCATTTTGACTATACTTTTTCACTTTTCAACAGTATCTACCTACTTCTTTCTGGCTCCTAAATATTGGTCTTCTCAGAGCTTGGTCTCTTGAAATCTCTTGAATTGAAAATCTCATCCAGTTCCAAGACTTGAACTGACACATATGAGCTGAAGACTTCCATTCCTACGAGATAGGGTGGGCATTTCCTCCTCCATAATCCTCCTCCAGGAGTGCGTACCCACTCCACCGATGGAGCCCTTCCTGCCCAGCCAGGATAAATGGAGGAGGTCCTGATGAGGTAGGGAAAAGAAAATGACCTTGTAAAAAAAATGTGATAGCACAAGGGTTATGTCAAGAAGTAGTCTTATAGAAGCTCCACCCAGCCTGGACCATTCATCCTCCTCTCCAATAGTTAGACCATGATAGTACACCAGACCATAGAAAGAAATTAGAGCCAGGACAGGCAAGGAGAAAGAGGACAGTAGGACAATAAAGAGGAGGTCTCTATACTGCCCATTGAACATGGACTTGAAAAAGCTAATAGGGAGCTGGAAAAGGACAAAGAAAAAGCTATTTGGGGCTATCTCTCTATTTTATATATTTCTGAGTATCTTATGGTAAAACTTCCAATGATGAACTGTATCATTTTCACAAATAATGACATCTGCATTTCCAGCTCAGATCTTTCTATCAAGCTTCTAACTCCCTCCTAATGACTCAAAGGTGATAGGCACCTCAAATGTAATATCTAAAGCAAATCCCTCTTCCTCTTCCTCCCCTTAATCTGCTCCTCTCTTGCATACATCTCTGTGAATAGAATTGTCATCCCTCCACCTGGTATGGGTTAAATTGTGTCCACTCCCCCCCAAGTTTATATGTTGAAGTCCTAATCCCCATACCTCAGAACGTGACCTTGTTTGGATATAGGGTCATTGCAGATGTAATTAGTTACATTAAGATGAGGTCATTAGATTGGGCTCTAATCCAATGTAACTGGTATCCTTATAAAAATAGGAAATCTGGACACAGAGACACACACACAAAGAGAACATCATGTGAAGATGAAGGCAGAGATCCAGTTATTCCTTTACGAGCCAAGGAACACCGAAAGTTGCCAGCAAACCACCAGAAGTTAGGTGAGAGGCATGAAACAGATTCTCTCTCATAGCCCCCAGAAGGAACCAACCCTGCTGACACCTTGATCTTGGACTTCTAACCTCCAGAACTGTGAGACAATAAATGTCCCAATCCTTTGTTATGGCAGCCCGGCAAACTAATACACTACCCAGTGAAGATTTGCCTCCATCCCCCCTCGCTCCCCATATCCAGTGACTAGATCCTGTCTGGTTAACCTCCAGAACATCTCCTAGGTTCAGCCTCTACTCAGTTTCCATTGTCTCTGTTGGTGTATTGGGTATTGGATAATCTGTAAGCACCGTGGTGGAAGATAGGAAGGGACTTAGTTGACCAAATGGAGCAAGGATAGGCCAAAGCTGGAGAGGGAAGATCTGGGACTTGAAAGGGATTTGGCAGTGGTGGGACTGTCGGGCAGAGGGTGAGGTGCCCCTAGCTGTGGGTGAGATTGACACCAACTTACCGCTTGGTTGGAAAATGCTGAGACCGCAGAGGCTGCATTGAATGTCAAAGGGGCGGGGCTGACTAGAGGCAGGGCTCTCCAGGGCTCTGTCCCCACCACAGCCGACTTGGGACCAGGCTTGCACCTAGGCTGTGCATTGGGGGCTGAGCAGAGATCTTGGGGAGATCTCTGCTACCGGGTTGTCCCAGGGCACGGCCACAGGGTGCACATCAGAGGCACCAGCTTTGTGACACTGCTGAGGGTGTTGCTTTGAACAACCGCAAAGCAAACCGGCAGGTTTGCCGATGAGTGCCACGTTCCAGTCCAAGATGCGTGAGCTGAGTGGCACTTGGCATTCCCAGGCCCCAGTTCCAGCTCTGCTGGGAAATGGGAGACTTCGCTGTGGCTCTTGGAAAAGGATTCTAAACTCCAGGATCAAGCCATGAAAGGACCTGGAATAAGACACGTCCTTGGGCTCTCAGGAGGACTCTGAGCAGCTGTGCCTGCCTTTCTCTTCAGTCCCCTCCCTTCTCCCCTCTCCCCTTCCCCATTGCTCCTTCCCTCCCTCCTCCCGTCCATCCCCTTCCTCCCCACTCCTTTCTCTCACTCTGTTCATCCCCCCTTGCCACTGTCGCCTCCCTCCTCCATTCCTTCCTCCCCCTTCAGACCAGCTCTCTCCTCCGACCTTTCCTTCTCTTACTTCCCCATCTCCCACCTTCTCCTCCTTCTCCTTCTCCTTCTCCTTCCTTCTCCTTCTCCTCCCTTCTTTCTCCCTCGCCTTGTCTTCCCCCTCCCTCCTCACCGTGGCTCCCCCTTTCCACCCTCCTTTCTCCCATCACCTCCCCGCTGCCTGCCCCACCTGGCAGTGTTTGCTTTCCTCCCGGATCCCGGATGAAAGGGTTGCCCTGCCCGTGCCCTGCTGTGCCCCATTTCTGGCAGCTGGGGCCTGGCTTCATGGCTGAGGGCTCCAGGACACAGACCCCGGGGAAAGGGCCCCCTCTTAGCATCCAGCTCCTGCGAGCCCAGTATGAAGGCCTGAGGAGGCAGCAGCGGGCCCAGGCCCACCTCGTGGTGCTCCCGAAAGGTAGGGCTGGGCAGAAGGGGGGCTGGCTGTGGGAGGAACGGGTGGCTGAGCTCAGGGAGTCCTATCCAGGGCAGCTCTCCCAGCCGTGGCCCCTGCCAAGTGAGCTAGGGCCTCAGCCAGGCATCTGGCTGCCAGGACCACTCCTGGCCTTTGCTCTGATGTTCTGATCTTGCCAGACTAGTTGGCCTGGTCCCCCTGTGAGGCCAGGTGGGGTGCTGGAGCTCTGCCTCCTGGCCGGGTCTAACCGGGGCACCTCCTGCAAACCAGGGAAACTGGCTCTGGACAAAGAAGACGTGGCATTTCCAGCAGCCTGGGGACTAGCTGGGCCAGAGGAAGCCCCAGGGCTCAGGGACCTGTGAGACACGCTGGGTTCATCTAGCCTCGAACAACAACCTCCTCCTTATGGGCAAAAGCCTCCTCCCTTTGGGAACTCAGATTTCATCCCAGGGGGAGTCAAAAACACAGGGCTCAGAAAGCAAGTAGTTGTCAAATCCCAGCCCTTCATCCTCTAACAGGTCTAGGGAGGAGGGAAGGGGCCTTGAAAGGTCACAGCTGGGCCCTGAGGGTTTCTGTGGCTGTTTGCACAGCTCAGCGGACTCACTGAGTGGTCTTCCCTTCACCAGGCTGGGCTGGGAAGGAACCAGGGCCCAGAGGGACCTCACCGTCTAGGGCAGGAAGCGTGGTGCCTTTTGGAGACAAAGGTGGCACCTCTGAGCTGACGGAGCCCATCTCCCATTACCTTGGCTGCTGCCGGCAGCGGGATCTGTTTGAACTTCGCTAGCACAGCCAAATAACCCCCTCTCCACAGAGCATAAGCTGAAAGGTTCCTAAATCTCTGCCCCACCCTCAAGGGTAGTTACTCATTCAGTCATTCAGCAAATACGTAGTAAATTAAACCCCTATCAAATGAAGATGCCACGTTTAACACACCTGGGATCCAGACTCTCAAATCTGGTTGCTTAATGGCAGGATCCAAAGACATCTCGAGCTCAGCATGCCCCAGAGAATTCCCCACCCCTGTGCTGGCCCTTTCTCCTGCACTTGGTGACTCAGTGCTCGCTCTTTTGTCACTGCCGTGTGGTAAGTTATGGCAGGTTCACGCAAGGAGCTCTCAGGCATGGCTTTGGCTTTCTCAGGGAAGACGTCTGACGCCCGGCTATGCGAGTGCACGTGAATCCACACGTGTGTGAGTGTGTGTGCGCCCTGGCCCTTTGGCCCTCTTTTGCCCTCAAATGTTAGGAATACCTCCTCCCAGAGTTCACTCCCTCACTTCAGTTTTTTTGTTTTGTTTTGTTCTCTACCCATGAGATTACTTCAGTTTTCAATCCTCTATTATACTTGAGTGTTTTCATTGCATTGGTTACCACCCAAAATTTTATTATAATAATTTTATTATAATATAATCCTTTGCTTATTGTCTTTCTATTCTGCTATGACACACCCGTGAAGGTGTGGATTCTGTCTCAATGTTCACTGCTGTTTTCCCGGACCTAGAATAAATAATAATAGAATAAATAAATAATGCCTGGCACATATCAAGTGCTCAATAAATATTTGCTGAATGAATGAATGTGTGTGTGTGTGTGTGTGTGTGTGTGTACGGGAGAGAGTGCATGTGTGTGTGAGCGTGCAAGTGAAACTACGTGTGCATCCGTGTGTGTGTAGGCATGCAGTGTACTGGACCCCTGGCCTCCCTGACATTCTGGGTATGGCCTTCCTTCAGCGTGAAGGCTCTGAGACCCCCTGAATGAGAGCTGCCTGTGTCCCCTCCAGTGAAGATCTGCTTGTGCCTTCTTTTCTCAGGAGGGAACATGCCTGCTTCTACTGAACCCATGGTCAGCGCTGTTTGGATTAACAGAGAGAGAAGGTGCTCCCTGTCCCTGGAGGAGGCTGCTCCGGAGGCAGAGGGGATGGTGGAGGAGGATAACCAACACTGTCTTCAGGCCCCTGTGTCTCCATGGCACACACACCTAGAGATGCATTGTTTGGCCCAAACTGTGTCCCCGGAAACCAGTCATCAAGGGAAGCACAGGAGCAAGCTGGTGGGGTCAGACCAAAGGCTCCCTCTGGAAGGAGAGACACACTTGTTTGGAAACAATCGGATAATTCAGCAAGGAACCACAATCCCAGAGGCAGCCCAACGTCAATGCCAGGTGGGCAATACTGAAACAAAGGCAGTGGGATCTGGCTTAAAATTCAGCATTCCCCGTCCTCCCTCCATAAAGCAGCCACACAGGTCTGGCAAACCAGCTCACTATCCATTTCCCCAGAGGAAAACTCCCAGGATCTCCCAAGCTGCCCGGAACCTGGGCTTATATGGCCCAGCCTGAAGCTTTCTACTCAGCCAGACGTCTCAGCCTTGAGGCCATCCATGGCCTCATCAAAGAACAGAGGAGGCAGAGCAAGAACTAGAGCCTCTAGCTATGAGCAAGAACTGGACTAACCCACTGCAGGCACTGTGGGAAATGAACTTCGCAGTGGAAACATGGTCTTGCCCTTCAAAAAAGAAGAGATTGCCCGGGCCAGATTGCTCGCAGTTTAGGGTGAAAGTGTACTATCCTATCAGTGCAGCCCCATTCTGCTTATACGAGAAGAAGACATTGCAGTGGAGCTCTGGATGCATGTTCCTTGGGGAGGCCCAGCAGGACTTCTGCTCTGCCCCTGGAATTGGAGAATTTTGAAACATAAAGCAGAGACTCAAGTGGATGGAATGCCTCAGCAATGCCCACAGATCAATGAGTGATCTTGTATTCAGTATCTTCTGATGATGTCACACATATTCTGGAGGAGATGAGCTCTGAGAATTCAGAACGTGGTTCTCTTTCCTGTGCCTGGGGGCCATCCCACTTAAAAGCCACTACATTTATTGGTAGTGACCATACAAGTTCAGCTTGAGCTCCCCAAAGTATGGCCACCCTGAGTAAAGAGGGTCAGATCAATGCCACCTACCATCTCATACCTTTAAGGGGTCTTTAGGAAGGGCTGATCGTCTATCACCTCTCACTGACACTGTACCTTCCAGCCTCATCACGGATTTCCTCCCTCCCTCCCTTCCTTCCTTACATCTTTCTTCCTTCTCCTTCTCTCTCCAAAATTAACTTCTTATTAAAAACTCCCAATTCTGATGCTTTGGGAGTGATGAATAAAATAAGAAAAAAATTCTTCCAATCATTGACGATATATAGCGATGGGAGCTTGAGCAAAAAGAGACAAATATTTCTGCTTGGAAAATATGTGTTCCCCACCAACTACCCCCTTTTCAGCCTATCTTGAATCACTCAGATCCTTCCTGGGATCAAATATACATTTCTAAACCCAAGACAAAGGGAAGCAGGTGTTACTTGGGTAATGGGGAAGAAAGCTTGTCTCTCCTGGTTAATGTTTAACTTTAGTTCCGATGTTTAAAAACACCTAAGGTGCCTTTCCCTTATATCAGATTCTCTTTATGAAGTTTTATCCACATTTTCCTTTTTTCCCCAAGGCGATCCAGTCTTTCTCATCCACATCCAGAGTTGTTAACTACAAATGTCATTCCCTGTCAAAACTATTATAGGTGCCTGCTTCTTGGACTACTCCGAAATTCACTCTAATGTGAGAATTCACTGTGATTCCTCTTGCCAATAATTAATAAGATTTAGTTGTTGTTTATTTAATACTCTAATGAAAATCAAGAAATTTTTTTCAAAAATCTTTGTCCTTTGCATTTGTTTAAAGAAGATTCCCAGAAGTAACCTCTCTTTCCACAGTCTAATTAATCTTTCTCTCTTTGTTGTTCTAAAGGCTCCTGCGGGTCTGGCAACAGGTGCCAGGCACCTCTGTCCTGCGTACAAAGTGACAGAGAATGCACGGGCTGTGGAGTTAAGCAGACTTGGGTTTTAATCCAGCCATTCTCGATGTGTGATTTGGGCCTAGTTATTTAATCTCGGCTTTGGTTTCATCATCTGTAAAATGAAGTAGATAACGCTCACTTTCAAAAGGACTGGAAATGATATGTGTAAAAGTTCCTGGCACTCTCAGTAAGAGGCAGCAATCATTATTTTTAAAAGTTCATTACCTCTCCTCCTTCGCCTCCCACTCAGCCATCAGCCCCCTTGCAAGCCGCTTCTACGCCCACAAAGATTGAAGATCACTAACCACCCCCTCCTCTCCAAATTCAACTTCTTCTGGTCTTCCCTCTCTTTTATCTCTCCAGCATTCATGACTGTTACCATTGACACCCTGTGCCTTCTTCTCCTACCCCTCCTTTAGTTTTGGGATCTCTCAGTCTATGAGCTCCTTTAAGTCAAGGAGTTTGTCCGCTGTGTCTCATTGTCCCAGCACTGAGACTAAGTGGGCACACGGAGTACTCCACAAATGATCAAGTGAACGAATTAGAAAACGAGTGCCACATCTCCTTCCCACCCAACAGCCTAACTCTGCCCTCTCCCCTTTATTTATAGACTCTTCCAGGTTCAGACTCGGACTTTTTATTTTTCCTTTAATGTGTTCTCTCTAAGGAAACACGGAACAGCAGAACCATGAGTGGAAGTAAGAACCTGCCAGGCAGAGGGAACAAGATGTACAATGACTCTGACAAACGAAAGGTCCTAATGTGTATCAAGGGCTGGAAGAAGGCCAGTGGGATTCAAACACAGTCTCCAAGGGAGATAGTGGATGCTAAGGCCATGTATCCGTCATCATAGGCTATGGTTTGCTGCAGTAAGAAGTAACTCCCAAATCTCATAACAGAATCTTATTTTTCACTCATAAAAAGTCCATTGTGGATTTGGGCAAATTTCCAGGGCAGCAATTCAGCTTCCTAATCTTATCCACAATCTCACGGCACCACCATATCAATACTTGTTTTGTTGTCGCAGGAGAAGAGAGTGCATTAATAGTCACGTACTTGCCCTCAAATCACTTTCGCTCTCCCTGTTAGATTGTCCAAAGCCAGTTGCACGGTCAGAGTGTGACTTTATACTGAGAGTGTGGTGTCATGCCTTCTTCAAGGGAATGAAGAAGTACAATGATGCCATGTGCCTGGAAGAGAGAAGAAATGGAAACACGGCTGCGTAGCGTCACCGGCTAACACAGGCAGGCAGGCCAGGTCACTGAGGGTACCGTACTGTATTAGATTTCATTCCGAATACTCTGAGCAGCCATCGAGGGCGTTACATAGGAGACTAAAGTGATTTGACTTGCAGTTTAATCAGATGGCCCTAATTGTTTCACAGAGAATGAGTTGAGGTCGAGTTAGGAGGCAATGTCAGGAAAGCAGTGGCCAGGGCAAGTTCAGTGGGAGAGATGCTCTTAGCTCAAGCAAGGGTGGGAGCAGAAGAGATGGAGAAAAAGTGGATACATGTGACATATATTTTGCAGTTAGAATTACTAGAATTTGTTGAAGGGAAATCGTAAGTTCAGTTTGAAGGATATTGAGTTGAGATGCCTGTGACATACAAATGAAAATATCAAGCAGGGGAGTGGATACATGAGACTCTAGTTTTGGGCTAAGGGTGTAAACTCAGGGGTCATCAGTATGTGGAGGCACTTAAACGAACTTGAAAGGACAAGTTCACCTATTTAGACCACAGAGAGAAGACAGGGTCCAGAATGAGTCCCGAAAACTCCTATTTACTTAGGAGAAAAATCCCTAAGGATTTTTCTAATCCTTTCTTAGAAGAGGTGGGGCTGGGGGAGGAGCCAGGGAAGAACACTGAGAAGGAGCGACCAGAGGGGAAGGAGAGCCAGGGAGCGTGTGAGGTCACGGAACTCAAGGGGCAAGAGTCAGTGGGAGACCCTGTGCAGGTCACTCCCCTAATTGAAATTCTTCAGCCTGGAGCTGCTTTTTCTTGAGCGTGGGTTTAAGAGGCGGGAGTCTAAGAGGCAATGCCGATTGTGTGGAAACTCTTCATCCAGGGGCAGGCAAAGTCAGCGTTAGCATGTGCGGGTCACAGCTGACTGATGTCGCCAAGGCTGGCTTCAGGCTGCCTTTGCCCCAAAGGCCTGGCCTTCCCGGGTTGGGTCAACCCCAGGCCAGGCCAGGAGAGGGGCTAAGGATTGAGTGTTTCCTGTGGCAGGGCTTGGAGGAAAAGGCAGGGAGGGGTGGAGCTTTGAATCCTCTCACTCCCTTCCCACAAGGCTACTCCCGCCAAGAGCGTTAGCCCTGAACTATCTCTTTCTCAATCACACACTCGTCCTCCTACCAACCCATGGACTATGGAACTTGCTTGGGGCAAAGGGCTCAGACCACTGTCGAGGCTGTCACACCACCCATGACTCTGATCTTCTTTCCTGTGCTGGTGGGGACTGGGGCTAACCTCTTTCCACACCCTACACAGGGTTAGCAGAAGAAGGTTTTCTCAAGGTCTGTAAGTTCTGCATGGGGCAGGTCACCTTTACCTGGGTCCCCAGCCTCCTGGCTCCCAGGGAGGACCCCCCTGGCAGATGCATCAGTCTCCAGTTTCAGCACCACCGTGGGTGGATGGTGACCCTGGCGGCGTTACTCACCTCTCAGAGCCACAGATTCCCCAGTTGTAACTGCAGGGGCCGGTACCACACTCACCACCCTCTCCCGCGGAGAAGGAGCAGGGCGGGAGGAGCAGGGCGGGGGAAGAGAGGTGTTGCGGTCACTCTAGGAAAGAAAAGATCTTTTCCAAGAACTGTTAGCAACTCGGCTCAGTCCAAGGGCTCCTTCCCTGCCAGGGGCGGGCTCCCCTCATTCTCTGTCTGGTTCCCCAGCTTTCAGGCACCCCTGTCATTAAAGCCATTCATTCCAGTTCTTAAGACTCGGAACTACTGGAATTTAAAAGACCGTGGAGAGAGGAAGAGGGAATGGCCTTCACACAAATGTTGAATGTCCCCAGGAGGCAGCCTCCTCCCAGCCTTGTGTCACTGAGGGGGGAAGGGCCTTTTCCTTTTTTTCAAATTGTTGCTTTCTTTCTGCAGGCTCTAAGGCTGTGGTTCTCAAACTTTGGCATACATCAGAGTCACCTGGAAAGCTTGTTAAAACACTGATTGCTGGTCCCTAGCTCCAAAGTTTCTGATTCACTGGTGGGGTAGGGGTTAGAGTTTCTGTTTTTTTAAAGACAGGGTCTTGCTCTATCACCCAGGCTGGAGTGTAGTGGTGTCATCCTAACTCACTACAGCCTCGAACTCCTTGGCTCAAGTGATCCTCCTGCCTCAGCCTCCTGAGTAGCTGGGACTACAGGCGTGCGCCACCACGCCTGGCTGAGAATTTACATTTCTGACCGTTTCCCAGATGATGATGCTAGTCTGGGAACCACACTTTGAGAACCACTGCTCTTGGGGATGTGGCTGACATAAAAAAAAAAAACAAAAACAAAAACAAAAA